GGGCGCCGGCGGGGCGGGCGGCGGCCTGCGAGCCGGTGCGCATCCCGCTGTGCAAGCCGCTGCCCTGGAACATGACCAAGATGCCGAACCACCTGCACCACAGTACGCAGGCCAATGCCGTGCTGGCCATGGAGCAGTTCGAGGGGCTGCTGGGCACCAACTGCAGCCCCGACCTCCTCTTCTTCCTCTGCGCCATGTACGCGCCCATCTGCACCATCGACTTCCAGCACGAGCCCATCAAGCCCTGCAAGTCGGTCTGCGAGCGCGCCCGCGCCGGCTGCGAGCCCGTCCTCATCCGCTACCGCCACGCCTGGCCCGAGAGCCTAGCCTGCGACGAGCTGCCGCTCTACGACCGCGGCGTCTGCATCTCCCCCGAGGCCATCGTCACTGCCGAGGGCGCCGGTGAGTGCGCGGGGACCGGGGACAGGGGACGGGGCCGCTCTGCGCCCGCCCGCCCGGCCGGACAATGGGCGCCGGCCGGTGGGAAGGGGAGCCCGCCGCGCTGGAGCCCTGCCTTGTCTCGCTCTTTCGGCCCCCGCCGCTTTCTTTTCTTCTTTTCCCTCTGCCTTTAGCAGCCACGTCGCTGCTGGAAAAGTTTTGCTGTTCGGGAAGCGGGCGCGTGACAAATGACAGCCCCGCCGTCGTGCCGGGGGATGCTTTAGGAGCGTGGGAGCGACAACCCTCGTTTCACATAGGCGGGAAACGTTTCAACACCCCGCTTCGGTGCTTCATCAGCGGTGGTTGCCTGTTAGGAAGGCAGGGCCACCCAGGAGAGAGGAGCTCCCACTCGTCCCTAGGCTGCCAGGTCCTGCAGCACCTCTCTTTGCTCATCCCCAGCTGCTCGCTCTCCCCGAAGCGGTCCGCTCCCCTCCCATGCGGGGCCGTCATCCCCACCCGTGGCACAGCCAGCAGATTTTGGGGAAGGAGCTGTGCCCAAAGGAGCCCTGGGCAGGAGCTGGGGGGGCCGTGGTCTCCCCAGCCACTTCCTGTGCCAGTGCTGGCACACGTGCAGCTGAAGGGGAGAAAATAGCCTCGTCTCCGTGGTTGGCACCGTAGGCACGGTTACGGCACAGGTCCCCGGGCTGCTCGGGCGAGGAGCACAGCAGAGGTGCAGCCTTCCGCTGTGTTTCGTTCCCAGCATCCCCAAGCGAGCTGAAGGCCATCTCCAGCACTGAGGCAGCTCCAGCGCAGCTCTGAGGGTCTCTGACCCCCACCACGGTCTCCGAGGGGTTGTTGGAACCCCCTCAGCATTCTTGCTGCATCCCGTTTCACTGGCTGCACTCGCTGTGGTCCCACAGGGTGGCTGGCCCTGGGTGTCCGGCTGCCGTCCGGGCGGGGAGGCCGGAGCGTCTCTGTGCAGTTGGGTGAAGACTGCCGACCGCTTAGGCCACCGCGATGCTGCAGACCTGCTGTTGCTCAGGGACCCTGCTCTGTTAGGGGTGTGCTGCCATCATAGCTGCCTTTGGGCTGGAGGAGTTAACAGGGCACCGCTCACAACATGGTGAGCCGAGCACCGCAGAAATAGTAGATTGAAGGAGCTATTGAACAGGAAATTAAAGCAAGCTAGGGGGTGGTTATCACGAGTGAGCTTTGACCTTTATGAAATGACCACGGTTCCTGTCTTCACTGAGGAAACTATTTGCTGCTGGTGGAACCAGGCAACGTTTCCTTGCTGCAAAGTTCCAGTGTCGGTGGGTCTGCCAGACCGCTCCGTCACAGGAGTGGGAGAGCGGAGCTGGGGCAGGGGAGCAGCTAAGAGGGGTCAGAGACTGAGGCAGAGCAGCACCCATGTGCCCTGCGGGCTCATTGTGCTGCTGTCCGGCTCCTTCGGTGCCTGCAGCTGCAAGGGTTGTGGCATCTCACTGGTGGGCAGTGGCTCCAACCTCTCCATTCTCCCATAGCAGTGGCCTGTGAATGAAAGGGTTTGGTTGGGGTTTTTTTTGAGTTCTGTGCTCAGCACAGTATTTGCCTGAGCTTCTGTCCCATTACAAGTGCTTTATGTATCCCTCTGCCAGCAATGCCAAACACAGTAATTCCTGTTTTCCTCTCCTAATGAAATTTCACGCTTTGGTTTCCTGACTGTGCTCCCCAGCTCAGCCTTCCCAGGTAAGCTGCTCTTTCCCCTCCTCCCCATTTATTTGTAGGCCAGACTAACCCCACTCCTTCTCTGACTCCATCGAGTTACCCTCTCCGCCTCTTGAAATCTCAGCTCGGTGACCATACCCTGATAGCTCCAGTCATTACTACTATTTCTCTCTAACCCTTCTAATTACTCCCCTCTTGCCTTTTCGTCCTTCCTCCCCCCCCAGCAGTTGTCCCCAGCCCGTGAACCCAACCATCTATTTTTGCCTGCAGCTCCCTCCCTGCTGCTGCTGCTCCCTGGGTCTGCAGACCTGCTGGGATGGTTTGGGGAAGTACAGTTTTGAACACCAAGCGCCTTTCATGGCAGCATTGAGGTGCTTTCAAAACTGCCTTAAAAATGGCTCCAAACTGAGCAAGGCTTGGCAGGTCTGCAGTGATTTGAAAGCAATCGCATTCAAATCTGGAGGGAGGAAGTTTGGCTAGAATTGCCCCTGAGTTACCTATTTCTGAGGACCTCAGCAGTACAATAACCTCTTTGAGGGATTCCAGGGCCAGATCCATGAAAACTTTCTTTCAGTGAATGAGAACCTGATGACATTCTCATTTCTGGGCTGAAAATTTTGAACCAATGCATTATGCATCAGACTGAAAGAATCCTTCTTGAGGGAATAAAACTGCTCCTTTAGAAAGCAGAGTGAAGGATTCCTGTTCTAGGAAGAGGTAAGGTGAACATTTCCAAATTCAGTTCCCCAAATAAAGGATCGCAGCCAAGTAGAAGTCACAAATAACCAACCAACTGCCTAACAGGGACCATGCAGAATACCTGCTACTGTTTTATCTCCTAAGCACTCCCACCCCTCATGCTGTCTGTAAACTACATCTAATAGGGCAGGTAGAAATATAAATCCATTTTTTCATGGGCTTTTGTCACGGAAGAGGATTATTTTAGTCTTCAGAAGTGAAATTCTGATTTTTCTTTCATTTTTTTGCTGCCTGCAAAGTAACAGGATTCTACCGTTTCCTTTTGAGGTCTCTGCGTTATTACTGGTAAAGGTTAATGCATTTGTCTAGTCCCTTCCAAAAAGCAGCAGCCCGAAGGATGACATGGTCAAATGTTTGTCTTTATCAGAACAGGAACAGGGTTTGGAAAGCCCGATTTCCATTCCTTTTCCAATATTAGACCATGCGTCTTACTTATGAGCACGCGGTTCAGCTGGGTGCAAGGGCTCTTCTGACCCTCAGGACACACTTTCTTCGGGTGGAGTCGCCTGCAAGAGCCTGCAGCGGGTTAACACTGTGCTGGGTCAGTCATCGTCTGCTCTTCTGCAGCCAGGAAGAGCATGTACAGATGCTCGCAAAAATTCCCTGTCACCATTAAAGTAACTGGTCTTGACTCTCATTTCAGTGATGCCAAGTTGAAGATTGTTTGAAGTTCACTTGACTTTTTTCTTTGGCTGACATTGCAGTAAAAGATGAGAAATTCTTCTACGATCAGTTGTATTCCCCATGCCTAGTAGACTGTGGCTGTTGCAAAACGTGGAAGAACTGTGATTAGTAAAATCTGTGGCAAAACCCAGTAAGAAGTTCACTTTCAGTTATTGAGGCACCCGTCATGAATCCTCCACAAACATCTTCTAGGACCTCTTTCCATGTGCAGCCCGGGTGGCAAGGAAGATCTAGAGGCTTCCTCTTTGCAGGAACAAGGGAGATATTTGTGTCTTTCTTCTGATGTTATTAGGGCTGCTGACGTGCTGAAGGGGTGAAATAGCAACTGCTATGTCCGTGATGGAGAAGACTGGTAAGAACAGTAAAAGTGCTTTGTTTAGGGCTCAGTTAGAGGAAGAAACTCTGCAGACCCTCTGGGCTTGTGCTGGTCTCCAAAACCTGAGTATGAGCTGCTGTACCACACTGCTGATCTGGAGGTCTCGGGTTCCTCAAGTTACAGAGACCACCTTCAAACAAGCATCCTGTGGGGAACACATTGTCCTTGATTTTTCATTATCTTTGGGAAACACCTGCGTTCTTTTACACCCAGGCAGCAGAGGGATGCTCTGGGCATGGTGGGGGTGTTCTGGGGGCAGGTGCAACACTGAATATTTTGGCTTCGTGTGGAGGATCTGACAAGTCACAATCCAGGATGGTGGATGAAGAAGCCTCTTGACAATATGTTAATGTCCCAGATGTGAGGTTAGTGCATGCAAATGCCTGATATATAGCTTTTACCTTGCATCCTTGTCCTTTGCGTTTTGGGGATGAAAGTGGTTATGCTTGCAGACATCAATATAAGCTGTCTTGCATATGTAGGAGGTCCCATTCACGTGCTTCATATATTTCAGTCTCCTTGTGCTGGGTACATATGTTGACTGCCTCATGTCTATCTGGTTATCTGCTTCCTTCATTTAGGTTCCTGTCAAATCTTTAGTCTGTGAGGCAGCAAGAACAGCAGATAGGTGAAAACTGTCTTGAATCTAAAATTTCAATAGCAAGACCTGTCTTTAATTTTACATGTAATAAATGACCAGCCTGATCACAGTCATCGCTGGTGTTGGGATGCTGACTCAGAAAAGCACTTCGGCACGTGCGCTTGGCTGCTACTGTCTAGCAGAGTGTTTATGTTTCAAGTGACATGTTTATTCCTGTTTTGAAGAGGTAACTGGCAATAAAACCAGAGCAATATGATGGGTACCATGCGTATCGGAGGACAGATCCTTCGGTTGGATTTCTGTCTCACTGTATCTTACTTAGATAGAAAAATAGCTTGAAGGCACGTTGGGCTGTTAATGAGACGTTGGGGGAAAAAGGAAGCATCATCACAAGGTATCAACCATGTGTAATTAATGTCCGAACCATTTGGGGTGATTATCATAAGACAGCTGAGGACAACTCTGAATCTCTTAAAAAAAGTACTATCTCTTAAACATTAAAGATGATTAAACGTTATTCAAGTGATGGAGACGCATTTTCTAAAATCTTACATGAACCCATGATTTCTCCATGTAGGCCAAGTCCTCCGTACCTGCCCATCTGCCTAGATGAATTCGTAGTAAACCAGTATGTGAATCTGGCATTGTATGCTTAAAAGAAAAGTGAAGGAGCTATTGCCATGCTTGTTTTTCATGTGTTACTTACTTCATTTCCAAAAGAGTGGTTTCCAAACTCCAGATCAAATTTGCTCTGACTCAGACTTCACATAGCTCTACTTATAGTAGCCAAAATGCACAGTGGTGTTAGGAAAGTGTTTCAGCCTGTACTGAGGATTAGCAGTCGTGCCCAGGTTGTCATTTTAAAGTTGAGATTTGGTTTAGGTGTTTGCTCTAAACTTGGAAGCAGACTTATTTCTCAGTTAAAGAACAAAATCATTACAAGCTTCAAGCCTTAAAGAAGACAGAAAAAGTTAATAAGAGTATTTAAACCTTATTAATGATGGTACCATTGATGGTGTTATATCACTTTGCTTTGTCTGCCTTTGTAGGCTGAGTCCCCTAGAATGGCTTTTACAGTCTAAGCATCAAGTCAAGACCTAGGCCATTATATGTCATCAAAACCCAGCAGGATTCATTATGTGGAATAATTCATTATGTGGAGCAGCCGTGTTGTCATGTTGCAGGCTGCCCTGTGACTTGGAGTCAAGTCATCTGTATCAAATTTTAACGAGGATCAGTTTTCCTATTACTTTGCTTTGCTGTGCATGTTTTTGCAATCAGATTAGCAAAGATCCTCTCTGTATTAAGACCTGAAGTAGATTTAGAAGTCTGAATTCATGCATATTTGAAGGTTTCTTAATCAATGGGGCTCACAGATGTCTCCATCTGAAGGAAGTGCCCAAGCAGCAACTACTCGCTGTGGTTTTGTTCTCTGGAGCAGCATGCCTGGAGTGACTTCAGTAGTAGCTGGGCCATGTTCTTTAATTGCAGTGACAATCAGGATCGTGTTACTTCTGGCTCTTTCTCTGCTTTTTTTTTATTTTTAATGTAAGCTATGATATGAGTAAGATGTTTACTCAAAACTAGGTTTTACCAACTTGTTTTCTGTTCCCAAACCTCTCATCCAAATCTGCGATCCAGGCATCGTTATTTTGTACACTTACTGCGCAAGCGGCTTTTATTCTGCTCTCCTTGTTAGTGGTTTGGGGTTTTTTTATATAGCATCCCTCTGAAAAGCGATTAATTAAAACGACTTATTGGAAAAATCAGTTTGGATTTTTTCCCCCTGTTCTTAAACAGAATTTAGTAAGAAGCCTTTGAATTGGAGCTCTGGATAATATTTCCTCTTTGGCAATCCTGCTAATCATAGCTGACAGATATTTCTTTCAAAAAGATTGTTTTGCATAGACAAAACTTGGCAGAGAGGTCGCCTCAGAAGAGAAGTGGAACAATAGGAAGTCAGTTGTTTATTTTTAAAAACAGCTTTTTTTTTTTTTTTCCTCTCCTGTCTCCATTATGGCTGGAGGTCTAAGCAGTGTGCATCTCCTGATGGAGAGAGGTCTCTGCCAGTCAGACTGCTGGGGTCAGGATTTCGTGGTTGCTGATGCCCAACTAAGATCTTGTGAGGGACTGGTGCTAGGGCTGGCCCAGACCCTTTTTCCCATTGCTTCCCTGGTAGATGAGAAAGGACCAAGGGGTATGAGCCTGACTGGGGGAAGGATCAGGTTGATGCAAAGCCTTTCCCCGAGATGTATTGTGCAGTGGTGGAGGTCTCCAGTCCCTCCGTGAGCCCACGCTCCTCTCCATCAGTAGAAACTGCTCATCCCTACTTAAGCATGAGTGCACCAGGAAAGATAAGCATCAAGGCAAGGTCAGTACGTGCCTGGCCCAAGCCCTCGCAGGTAGGGAAATGAATCATGAAGTGATGTATCCGGTACCTGTTTACTCCTCCTTCGCTCATTGACAGGCACTGTGCTCTGACCACAATTGCAGAGCACAACACGCTGCACACCACAGCCTTCACACAGGCACAGAAGTGGGAGCCGTTTCCATTAATAGCTGCCCTGCACACGCCCGAATTAACTCTTGTTGCGCACCCAGCTGCTTTGTCAGGTACCTGCAACCACTGGTTTGGGTTAGGACAAGTGACCTGGTAAACAAATGCAGAATTAGGAAACGGGTTGAGGTTGTGGTGTGTTGTAATTTGGTAAAAATAAAATAAGCTGTGTACTTAGGAGTGGAAAGGAACACCTGGTGGAAAGCAGTTTAGTTGTGTGTTTGTTTGGAGGACCAGGTTTATATTGGGCATTCTGAGTGTTTAGCAGCGCCCCCCTTGCATCAGTGTGAGTTTGAAGGAGAGTTCCTCAGCTGATACGCATGAGCATCGTACCCCCGAGTGGGACAGGGAAGGCTGGGAACCCCTGACTGGGCTCTGATTTATTTTTAGTTGTAATTCCAGAGTGAATTGGACTTGGTTCACTCAAACACCATGAAGTCATGACTGCTTGGATCAGCCCTTGGTTTAGGAAGGGAGAGTGCACTTCAGGGCTTCTTTTTCCTTCCCTGTTGCCTCCATGGATGTGAAGATGGTAAGCATTTAACCTGATATTTCCCTTGCCTCCTCCACTGATGAAAAGTTTTTCTGCCCCCAGTAACAGTTTTGTTGGCGTAGGGCACGTGCTTTGGAGGTGTGAAAGAGCCATCCCTTTGTTCATAACCAAAGTACTTATTTTGGTAGGAATTCTGGCTTGCTGGGCCACATGAAGCACCAGAAAGAGTTGCTTCATCCATGTGCAAAGCCTGGAAGGCAACCTGAGAAGTTGGCCAAGGCGACCGAATGAGAGGGGCAGTGAATCTGGAGAGCTTTCTCTGCAGGGGTCTTGAATGCCCAGAGAGTGGTGAAACATCTCAGGCCAGTCTTAGGCGCATGGAGAGGTAGAGCCACCTCTTTGTGGTTCGTGGCTGGGAAGTTTTGCAGACTTCTGTCTGCAGTGGGAGCAGATGGGAGGATTATCGGACTGTAGACCCAAGTGCTGTCTATGCTTTTATCATGTCAGAAGGAATTGCAGATGTAAAGCTACCACGTGGCTAAATGAACAAGACAACAGAGGATTGGCCCAGGAGAGGAAGAATGAGAAGAAACATGGTCATCCTTTTACTTACCATTTGCAAGAGGAAAACCATTTTAATTCCTCTTTCATCATGTCCTGGAATACAAGAAAACACTTGATACAACATAAAATGCATTTAGATTTGATGAAGGCCTCTTTTTTTTACCTTGCGCTATTGGTAGAGGTCACCATCACTAATTACCACCTGATAATAACAGCTTTTTAAAAATTTGAGAATGGCTCAGGTGAATGATTGAAATAAAGCATGTAAGTAAGAATTAGTGTGTATAATTTGACTTGTTACAAGGCAGCATGGAGAAGCTTACAGCTGCTGTGGAAGTACCTGATAACCAAAGACCAAGCTGGCTCCATGAAAATGCTGGGGTTTGTTCTGTAAACTAAGATCCTGCAGTAGTTTGGAACTTTCTTTGGAAGAAAATTGGTATGATTTTTTATTAGCAACAGGATATTGGATATAAAAGAGCATCTATTCAGTCCTTCTATGCTATTTTCTATACCCTTTGCTCTTTATGTTGGTAAGAATAATTATTCCTGAAGTTTCAATTTTTTGAAGCTAACTATTATGTTAGTGAGGCAATTAGTTGTTTTTCAGATTTACTCTTGCCCTGACTGTCATTTAGCCATATCCCCATTTATGTAAAGAAAGTTTCACATTGCTATGAGTAGTATAAATACGCATTAAGGTGGTTTGTTTGTTGGGTTTTTTTAAGAAGGATGGCCAAATTAGAAGATTAACTAAGTAATATTAGATTTCTTGTAAACAGGTATTTTAAATATGTATTTACAGAATTTGTGATTAAGTAATGGCCCCAGTCCTTAAAATTTATTCCACACATCTAAACCCCTTACCTATACTGAGTATCATCAGTGTCCTGGGCTGTCTTACAGCCAAATCCTTACAGCTCAAGCTGCAAGAGAGGAGCTTTTGTTACATGGTCATGTCTTCATTTGTTCTATATTATAAAAGCAGTGGCATTGCATACATGATAATGTAAGGGTATAAGAAAGGTGATGTTTGTATGATACCAGTTTTCAGAATTGGAAGTACTGGCGTAAATGTAAAGGCCTTTTTCTTTGAAAGCTCATTTGTTTTTCCATTTTATGTGTTATTCTAATAAAGTATACTGCCTCGCTCTCAGATCTTGTTTCTCTTGCATTTATTTTTTCCTTAACTTGCACAACGTTATATGCATTAGCATACTTGTTTTTCCATGATTAAGTATATGTATAAATCCATTAAATTGTGTGATTTAATAAGCAACAGGTTTGAAATGATGCATTTTACTAATGTGGGACACGTTCCACTTAGGAATGTGTCTAAAGCAGTTCTTTGGGCATAGTGCCTTTTTTTCCTTCTGTTCCTTATCTGTCCTTCAAACTAATCAGTGTGTTTTTAAACTGAGCGGAAGGGGAAGGTCTGAAACATTTGTTTTGGCATTTGCTTCAACGATATGATTGTGGTTGGTTGGTTTGATTTCCTCAGTAACCAAAAAAACAAACCAAAAATAATTTCTCTTTCATCATCTAATTAAATGCAAACAGTATGTGTACTTTTTGTAGATGCTCTAAGTTCATGCCGTAAATTTCCATCCTCATCCTAAACCTGCCAGTCTGTGCAGCAGTAGAAATGGGATATTTAATCTGCTTCAGATTTAACATGATGTGCCAGATTTGGGTGAAGTTCAGATAAGAAATTGCGTCAACTTTAACAAGCTGGCCTGTAGAACATTACGATCTATTTATTAATAAAGCTATTAAGTTTTAAAATACTAAATATTAGAGAAAGAGCAAACATTGTAATGTGGGTGTATTGAAACAATCCAATATTAAAAATACTAACATTTCTTTATGTATTTTATGAATCCATGCCAGATTTCCCTATGGATTCTAATAACGGCAACTGTAGAGGCGCTGGCATCGGTAAGCACACTTTTATAAAACTGTGTAATAAGTTATAGTCTTTCAAATCCTTTTAATATTTGATTAAGTAAGAGGGGTACTAAGTGATGCTTAAATACTGTGTCTTGTCCAGGAATCTTGTAGATTGTGCTTTTACGTCCCGTAGACAGGTGGGATTTGGGCCTGGTCAGCCTGTGGACCTCTCAGCATAGAACTCAATTAACTCTAGGCAGCCTTTTAGCGCTCGTCTCTTCTGCTCTTGTCAGGGCAAAATTTCCATCAAGTCAACATTGAAAGTTTTGTCTTGAACAGTGAGAATGATCATTAAATGGATTTTAATTGGGCAAAACCAACAATGATAATGGTTCGTTCTGACTTTAAAGTTTGCAAATTAAGTTTGGCACTCATTGTATATAATGGCAGAACTCCCATTAACCTGAGGAGGTTGATGCTGAGACCTTCTGAGACTGGGTTTATTCCAGTAGGTCCCCTGTTGCTGTTTATTTTTGTTTTGTTTTTGCTGGAACTGACTAAAACCCCCTGAGTGTTACCACTAGTCATAGGCAATGGAGAGAAGCAAAGCCCAGGCTGATAGCTAATAGATTATAGAAATGTGAATTTTTTGCTCAAACAAGCCAATGACTGTAGGTTTCCTTGAATTTTATTACAATTCCTTCAGAAGTTTTCCTCTTAGGCCTTTGTCAAGAAGATGACACATGGAAACCTAGCATTGGCCATTGTGTCTTTCCTTCTCCAGAGGTGTTGATAAACTGTAGTGTGCACTGATGCTCAGTTTGTTAATACAAACACCTAAGTATGGTTGTGGAACATAAATTTAGATATCTGCATAAAAGTGGATAACTTCAGCATTAATGTCTGTGACCAAATTGTAAAAAGGTATTAATAATGCTCAGCTTATAATACAGTTTTAAAATGTGATCAGTAGGTCCCAATGTGAAAGTAGCTATGTGGGTGCAAAATATTATTTAAATCGCAATGTACATCCTTTAGAAAGCCAGCTACAATTAGAAAAACCTGATAAAAGTAAGCCCTTTAACAAGCTTCACTTTAAATTGCCTTGAGCACAGGACTGTGTCTGAAAGACTTCCTAAAGATTTTTTTATTACTAATGTCAGTATCTTCTTAGTTTTAAGCCATTTTCAATTGTGTAGCTCTTTGAGTATGAAAGTAAAGCTGGATACCTTCAATTGCACCTTATATCAAAAATATTAAATATATCTTTACCACTGCCTGACCTTAGGGATGTAGGCGGCATGTAATACCAGTAAGTGACCCTGCAGTGGAAAAGAGTAAGACTCAGTTATACTGTTGCTGTCATGATGCTTTTTGACTAGTAAAAGCAAAACCAGACCTAAAAAAATCCAATCCAAAAAACAGGGTGAAGATGCACAGAAAAATTGCTGATGAAAAGGCAGGGTAATACTTTATCACTGCCTTTTGCTGTACAAACGCAATTTCTGGTGCAATGCACTATACCTGTTTCAACTGTCAAACACAGTTTAACCACCTAAAAGGCTGTGTTTCATAATTACTTTATTTATATGTTCACTAAAGTAAATTTGTAATTTTGACATTGTAAATAGAATTTTTTTTTTTGTGAGTAGCAATCTGATGTGTTTTAAAAAATCCTGGACTCAGCGCTGTGGTTTCTGGAGCATATTGCATGTGTTGCTGTGTACAGCTGCAGTGAGCAGAACTCATGGGTTACCCCTGTTCGAGACACCTTTTATTCCCAGTAGTGTCCGCTGGCAAAAACTTCCCTCTGAGTCTGCACAGGTTTTTTTGCGGGGAAGCTTTTTTACCTCTCTTGGCAGTAAACTACATTGTTGCCTGCTTCATCAGATGCTTTTCAAGTCACTTTGAAATTTTTCCAGAGGTTTTATTTATCCTTAATTTATCAGGGAAGCATTTGCCAGGTTTGAGTGCATGTCCCGATCCATGTTACAGCCAAGTTTTAGACGGTGCAGGAACATATATTTAAGATGTCACGTTTCTTTGTAGCCATCCATGGGCAAAACACTTTTCCCATGTAGTCCGTTTGTTTTGGCATTTACAGGGAGAAGTTTTCAAAGGTATAGATTTTGAGCTTCTGTGAGTCCTATATTGATTTGTATTAAAAAAAGAATGTTTAATGGCAAAGTTAGCTGAGCTCTCAGTCAAAACTGGTGTGAGCCACTGCTGCCTGTCTCAGTGCTTGGAATATAACGTTGTTGTCGTCCCAGAGCTCTTCTGGTAATTCTGGCAGCTGTGGAGGAGACAGACTGTCATGTAAGATGGGACTTCCCCTCAGCACCAAGAGATGCAGTATGTTTTTGTAAGCACCTTTTGCAGGTGTTCCCACTCTTTGGGGAAAGCTCAGCTTTGCCAGGAGCATGCATCAATCAAATATGTGTTCTCTAATAACTCAGGTTGTGCTTCCTTTGAGAGTCACTGTAATAGGAATCGGGAGGGAGGAATTGGTTCTAGCTCTACGACTGACTTTATAACTGACCTTGGCAAGTGACTCTGTTAGTTTCTGTATCTCTAAATAGTAATTAGGAATAACGCAGCGTTTTGTAAAGTTCTTTGAAATGTAAACTTGAAAAGCACTAGGGTGACTAGGAGGTATCCTTCATTAAGAACATGGGCAGGTCTATAATTTGTTTCTGGAACAAGACTAATAAAATATATTCCTCAAATTAATAAAATATTCCAATACCATCTTAAAATTGAGGGAAATGTGAGGCTATGTATTCTTGTCTTGTAATTTAGACTATTTTCTTTTACTTGTGCCACAGAGCAAAGTACTGTACAGCAGGAGAGCGTTGAAGTGTACGACTTGGTGGACTTGAACGCTGAGATGCCTGCGCGAGTGTGGGTCATAGGAGCATATCTTTTACGGCCTGTTTCGAGGCAGCTTATAAAATGGGCCGTAGTTTGGCCTAAAATATGCATGAGCTCCCACAGGCAGAATGGAAGCCAAAAATCACTTCCCTTCTCTGCCTTTATTATTTTAACACAGTCTCATACAAAAGCTGAAGTCTGTAGGCCTCTATATATAGATTCCTGAGGATGCGTTTGAAATTCAAGGAAACAATATACTCTTCTTTTAAAATGTTCTCCTCTTTCCTGTATTTTTTTTGTATTTTCAACTACAAAAATGATTTCAATAGAAAATAAGTAATGATTTGGAAAGTTCATAACCATATGATTCCATCTTTCTTTTTTAATATGCAGAAATCTTATATAGCAAATAAAGTTCTTTTTTCAGGCTCTTCATGTTGGATTAACTAAATCACTAGCTTATATGCATTGGTATTTTAGAATGATGGTGTATAGAAATAGGCTGCATTAAGTGTACTTCCACTTAAATGCTAAGTCAAATGTCAAAATAGATGACTATGTGTATGTAATACTGGGACCTGCTGTTTGAAACGACTTCACCAAACTCCACTTAGACACTAGCTTGAAATAAGTAAATATTTGCATTAGAACAACCAGCCATGAATTATTGGTGGTGTTAGTGAACGCATGGCTCTGGAGCTTCAGCATTAGCGCTCCCCAGGCACTAACAAAAATGTTTTTACCTCCGTTATTTTTCCCAGCTGTCTGGAAGCTGCACCACTGGAAATGCTGCTCTGACAGCGCTCATGAGTATTGTCTTTTGAAGGCTATCCTTACCGCCAGAAGGTCTAATAATTTCCCTATTTTAATTAAACCTGAGGTTCTGGGTCATAATAAAATTTACACAAAAATTGAGGAAGAGTCCAGAGCAGGATCAAAGGTAACACCAAACACCTGCAGTAGTCAAATGAAGCCCTTCAGCCTTTTAAACCTCTTGCCAGATGCTGCTGAAGAGACATGGTTGAGGTTTCATTTTGTCAGGACTGTCCCAGAAGTGTTTGGAGCAGGGACCCACGTGCCACTTGGTCCTGCCACCCTCCGACATGCTTCATCTGTTGACTGTACTTCCTAGATATCTTCAGGTGTAAAGGGGCCATGCCACTGTAAGAAATCTTACAGTGCAGCTCCAAAGATGAACTGTACGTTGATAATTAGCCACAAAAATCATATTCCTTATGGTGAATGCCTGCTAGCCAGAATATCCCAATTTGCTAAACCAAGCTGAGATATGTAGTCTCCAATCAAATGTTAAACCATGCCCTGTCATAGTATTTTCCTTCTGTGTCTATATCACAATCTGTATGATCAAAGGTGCAGAAAGGAGAGCATTCAGTAAGTGTAGTAGAGAAGAGAGAATGGCATTGTAAGGGTCTGGAATTGCAGCACCTGCGAGCACAGAAGAGACCAAGGTTGAAATTTGAATTGGCTTAAAATGGAAGATTATGTCACTTCAGATTCCAAGTCCTTGTGTCCTTGTTGTTGTGGGGTTAGTTGGTTGTAGTTGTTTGGTTGTGTTTTTTAAATTTTAGCTTGTCAAGTTTTCTCTTAGAAACCTTCGAGGTCTGAGGGACAGTTTCACAACATCTTCCAGCAGAACAGACCAGAAATGCCCCGTGGTTTTTAATATTTCACGTGCCTGTAATAAACAAGTCAATTCAGTGAAATTTTTGTTATGTGTCAGCTTGGGGTTTCAGAGAGATTGTCACTGAACATATGCTCTTTTCTTTCTGAATAAAACTTTCTCTTTTTATAGAGCGCTGCAAATGCAAGCCTATAAAAGCTACCCAGAAGACCTATCTACGCAACAATTACAACTACGGTAAGAACAGCTGCATGGCCAGCTCCCAACATTTTTAAGGCTACAGTAACGGAAAAATGTTCATTAAAAAAGCCTATGGTCCCAATTACTGATGGTTAATCCGGTGGTGCTTGTTAGGGAAGGAAGATGTGGCCTGAAACATTTCCAAATTAGAAGGACGGAGGGGATGAGCTTAATATGTTAGTAAAAGAGTGTCTGTTGATGTGGAGTGTTATTTCAATGTCAGCGCAGGCATTTGGGGTTCATGCACTTTTTTAGTGTGAAAAGTGATGTGACAAAAATGATGTGGGCTGCTATGCTTGAGCTGCCTCTTTGATTTCCAGCTCTGTTATGTTCTGCTTTTGCAGGAAGGGATGTTTTTACTAACTTTCATGCCTACAAACTCACCGTGGAATCTAACAAGCCTACTAGGTTCTTTCTTTCTCAAGTATTGAAGCCAGCAATGAGCATCTTGCCAGCTGTGTTGTGCTGTCAGTAACACCTGTAAAAGTGCACAATGTCCATATTATGTCTTCTCTCGTCCAGATTGTCTGGGTCTTCAGGCATATCACAGGTCCAGGCTGCTACTTTTCTTCATACTGTTTGTTTTAAGCAAATTAGGGTGATGAAGCCAGTGAATACATATCGCAGGAACTCAACGATTGGGCCCATCCTTTTTCCCATTAATCATGAGAATAGCCTTCAGCTCAGTGAACTTAAAGACCTCATTTAAGTGGTAGTGATTGTGTAATATTCATTAAGATTATGCATTTATACAACTGTTGTCAGATCAGCTTCTTTCAAAAATAGATCCTATTAAAAGCTAAAAAATTATAATTGTATTCAGTCAAACATCATTGTTATTTTTTAGGTGACTAGTTGGTTTTATGTTGTTTTGGTGGATTTGTTTGGAAAATAATTACAGAGTGTCTATTCTCCAGAGGGTACCTGCACATGGTAAAGAGTTGCTGAGCATGCTACTGCCGATCTTTTTGAGCTTTTGGAATTAAAGACATTTCAATATACATTTGAAATAACTCCAAAGTAAAGCAAGATTTTGTTTTGAAATCTTAAAAGGTTTTAGGAAAATGGATCACTTGTGCATTTAATATACACAATTTACCCTAAGTTATTAATTGTTGGCAGCTGTATTTAATGCGGCTGCAATACATGCTGGTTGATGGACTTTATGGGCAATGCATGTGAAGAGAGGAGATGTGTAAGTCCATGGTTTTCTTCCTTCCATACTGACTTTTTCACGTAGGTTAGAAGAAATTGGGAATCTGGGAAATCTGCTGTTTATAATCGAAAGGGACTCTTATTTGCAGGCTGTGAAAGATGTGGTATTCTCTAGAGCATGACCTCTGGACTGCTTTTCATTTGCATATGGTATCAGTTCACTGGTCACCATGAGAGAAATGAAAAGCGTTGCCTTTGAAAGGCAACTTTTCCTCCCATGCAACTTAAGGCAAAAAGAAAGGGTGAGGGAGGAAACAATTAGATGGGTCACGAGGTCAAGATCAGGAGTGTTTAGAATTCATAAAGAGCAGAGCAGATTGCTGCTGGGTCACTGGAGAGAGAATAAAAAAAGTAAGGGCCTGTCATCCGGCAGAAGTAGTGGTAGGAGAAGTTTTAACAGACATTCACGTTTCATGAAAGGTTGAGAGTGACAAATTAAGTTTGGTCATATGTACTGCAGGTAGTCAAAGAGGGAGCAGTTACAGCTCGAAGGAGAAGGAGAGCATACAAGAAATTAATTAAATATATTTAAAGCGGAAAGGGCGAAGAAGAAGGGATGCTAAAGTTAAAGCCCAGCTTAAACAGGACATAAATCCAACTGGTACATAACTCTTGCTGGTGACCCCACCATTATGAGATCTACTGAGCTACTTGGACCCTCTTGGTGGAGGATGAAGTAATGAAGTGGAGAGATGGGGGCAGGGGCATTGCTGGAGTTCAGCTAAGCTTTTGATAATGAATGGTGCAAAAGACTAATCCCAGAGGTCACCAGGAACGGCTTGGGGGTGACCCGCATTATCTGCTGCTGCTAACTATGTTCTTTGTGACTTTTTCCCAGTCATTCGGGCTAAAGTGAAGGAGGTGAAGACTAAATGTCACGATGTCACTGTGGTAGTGGAAGTAAAGGAGATCCTAAAATCTTCCCTGGTGAACATCCCAAAGGACACTGTAAACCTTCACACAAACTCCGGCTGCCTGTGCCCATCACTCAGCGCCAGTGAAGAATACATCATTATGGGCTACGAAGACGAGGAGCGGTCCAGGTGACTCTTCCTGCATTGTCCTTGGAGCATATTTGTTGTTGTTTGTTCCCCTGCCCGTAAAGCTGAACTTCAGAGCCACTGGGAAAGGAAAACTTGGTGTGACTCTCTGTACACCTCCTTAATGGTATTCGGAGGGGGGACAAGACTCTCTGTAGGCACAGAGATCTTAGTCTTGCATGCATTGGGTTGTATAGCTTGTGCATGCCTGTCAGTGGAGTAACTGGTTGTCTCTGTTGTGTAGGTTGCTCTTGGTGGAAGGCTCCATAGCTGAGAAATGGAAGGATCGTCTTGGTAAAAAAGTAAAGGTAAGAAGATACCTCACCAAAAGTCAAATGCTGCAGATACCATGAAACATCTACCTAATCTTTTCAAAATAAGGGAAGAAAATACATATGCTGACCCCTGTTATTTAACATCAAGTATCTAAAATTAACTTGGTGTGTTATTTGCTGTATTACTTAGAAATGCATGCTTTATAAACTAAAGGGATACATCGAATTGCCCCAAAGTACACCAGTGTAGCAGCAATCAAACACTCCATCTCAAAAAAGCAAACAGTAGGAGTATTTTAAGTCTGTAGGCAAACTGCGCTTTCTATAACACGCACCTACTTATTGGGACTGTGATAGTAATTAAAAAAAAAAAAAAAAAAAAGGGCTTTACAGATGTTTTCCAGACTAAGTCAGAATTATACTTTGCAGATTTAATATTCTTTAAATACAGTTCTCTTACCAAAATGTGTGGATTAGCAACTATTTTAAATTTACCTTCCTGGCTTAAGTGAAGGACGTACATGATAAGGAAGTCACGTCATAGCAAATTGGAAGCAATGAGCTCAAATGCAAGTAAGATATGAAAATATATTCTAATGTTTTCTAATTTAAATGTATTCTAGTGCCTTCCAAGTTCTTTTTATGTTTTGATGTGCCACAAAGTATCAGTGATTTGAACGTTGTTAGGAATATCATAGAATATTCTTACTTTGACACAATTTCTCAGCCATTGACTTGACATAATGGTTATGCCTGTGCAAACTAGTCTCCTTTTCCACTCAACTCTTTCTTCAACAGCCTTAGTGGTAACTGGCAGGAAAATACTGTTCTGATTGCAAATGCAAGTTTTTCTGTGCGTATTTGTCACATGCACAGAGATTACACAAGTGAAAAGATATGGGGATCTTATTCCAAGTTGTTGTTTGATTTGGCAGAACCTTATGAAATCCCGTGCCGCAGAGTAAATACCACGTTACCACCATGGGCTGGCTTCTGCTGAGTTCCAGTTCTTGGATGGCAGTGTCATTTGTTGGAGTTTTTTGGGCGAACGTCTGACTTATTTTCTCATTTACTTCCTTGCGGCCCAAGACCTGCTGCCTCTGCCCTCGTGCCCAGCCTGGGCCTGCTGAGGACCATGCCACATCGCTACCTCCTTCTCATCATAATCTCCTCTTCCAAAAGTGTCATCAGTTGTAGCAACTGTATTTATTACATCTTTTTGTGCTGCAGTTGCTATTACCTGAAAAGTAAAAATAAATAATAATAATTTAAAAAAATTAATAAAAATCACTTACTGTTTTTCATCCTGCTTCTACCAAAGGCTGCACAAATAGCTTCATTTAAATTCTGTTGTTTAGAAGGTGAGACTCATGCTGAAGCCATTATGCCTTGTATGAGCCCCTTCATTCACAGAGGCTACAAGAAAGCCAGGAAATGGTTTCTCTATTTAAAGTGACTTTTACCAATAACCCAACATTCCACCATTCGAACCCGACACAGGCTAATGCAGTGGAAACAGCGATAGCTTTTTTTTTTTTTCTGCTGCTGTTTGTAAACACATACGGTTGTTTCACATATGACATGTCTTCTTCTGTAATCTCTTTTGTAATTCCTTTGCCTTTCAATACGCAGCGCTGGGATCAGAAACTCTGCCACCTTGGGAAGGGGAAGGGAGAGCCCGCACACAGCAACTCGGCTCCGAAACCTGGCAAACCCAGCAGTGCCCGACCAGCACGTAGTTAGATGTGGGACACCATACATTGACATGCAGTGGACTATCCACCAAGACTTCATTGTTGGAGCAGCAAAGGAGAAATTGCACTATTGCACGTTATATTCTATTGTTTACTACAAAATAATGTTTTAGCTTATATTAGTTTTTATTCTCCCTCTTGTTTTCTGCATTTTCTTTTCAGATGTGTGCAAGCTCTGGAAATACGTATTTTATTTTTTTTCTGTTACTAAGAACTGTAGAAAACTGCCCTTATGAGATGGGGAAAAATAAGGACCTGTTGAATTTACCATTTTATCTCCTCAGTCTTCTTAGGGAGAAAATTCTGATGCAAGCAGGAATGAGATCTGGCAAAGACTGTCGCTTGAAGTGATGACTCAGATTGGCTTCCCTCTTTCACTCTTTCCTGGTCGCTGTTTGCTCCAGCTTACTGTGTTGGGGGGGGAGGATGTTATCTGGTTTTAAATGCATAATTTTTTATTCTGAAATATAATTCTGAAATATATAAAGAAATGATGTTAAGAGAACTGTTTTAATCAGTAGACTTTTCTTAAGTTTTCTTATAAATAAACCACTTGTGTAAGCCAAAGTCTAACTTAAAATATTTCCTGCAACAAACACAGTGTGCATGTGCAGAGGAGACCTGGGTTTTCCAGTGCTCTGGACCTTGCAGGAAAGGTAGTATAGTTCTGTTACCACAGAACATAATTTATAATATACTTCTCTTATAATGGCAGGGTTTTTTTCCCCTTTTCTTTCTTTCTCTGCTGAGTTGTAGCAGTAGACTGACTTACCAGGCCTGCTTCTCAGTACAGGTCTGCACTTTATCCTTTTGATTTTGTGGTGTTATTCTTAAATCTGTGCCTACATAAATAAGCGTTCAATGCTCAGTAAAATATGTCCAATAAAAGAATTGTAGTTACCAGCACAGACCTTATCTGACTTTTGAACCAATGTCATGGTTTTTTTATATTACTGTTGAAAATACAAAAAGCAAAAAAAAAACCCCTCATTTTTGTGCTTTTGTAGAATTTTTTACAGGTAGTTCCCACATGTTTGAATTATCTTCTGTTTTCCTATTCTCCCATGCTCAAAAGAAATTTAAATGGGCTAAATAAAAGAACAGTCCTCTTTGCTGTAGTCTGCAGAGGGGAGCCCACTCTACTTGAGATGCAAATGGCTGCTGCGTGTCGGTATGTCCTAAGTGCATTAGGGCTGCCTTTCATTAAGAAAACAATGTTGAATTGTTAGGTAGTTTGAAAATACGATGAAAATAAGTAAACACAGGAATATTGGGGAATATTTTTAATAATGCTCTTTTAAGATTTCAGTTAATCACCAGAGGTCTGAGGGCAAGTTTTCCATTGGGCTACGGAAATTGGATATTGGATATGAAGCAAGTTTGAAATATAAAACTGCTTCCTGCAACACTCAACACATGCAACTTAGAATTAGCATTTATGGTGCAAAGATGGGGTTTTTTTAGCTTCCTCAAGTTGTGTTGAGATTTGCCTTGTGCTTCCCCTCACTGTCACCCTGGTCCTGCACTCAGAGCGGGTCAGTCTCTGCTAACAGATAGTGTTTAATGCAAATCATATTGTTTGTAAATGTCCTGCTTTCCCATTCATTGTCAACTTAATTCCTCTCTGAAAGTAAGATACTCTTGCTTCATCTTTTAATCACCCTAGCTAGAATCAAAGGAGAAATAATGCTATCTGGGGACAAAAAAAAGGAAAGAAACAGATCTGCTTCATTTATTGATGAGAACCAGTTTCTGATCAGCTTCAAGTCCTTAATGTTTTATTGCTAGGCTGAAACTCGTGCCCACTCTTCATGTGATCAACAGGCTGATGACCAGAAAGTGAGGCAGCTGTTTTCAGTGTCATTAACTGCTGCTGGTTTGCATTTCCAGTGAGGAGAGGAGGATGTGTTGGCTTCCTCTGCAGGAGAGCAGAAGTGCCAGGGGTGGGTTTGCTCTCTTCACACCATGCCAGCCGGGAGGATTGGTTCCCTGTGTCTCGTCCCTCAGCTAAGGGAGCAGTCGAAGAGGTAAGGGGGAGATTGTTGAGATGGGCTCACCTCTGTGAAAGCAAAGTTTCGGCAGCAACAGCCGAGAGCCCCCTCAGATGGCTGAGCCGTCACATCTTGGTCGGGCTGGGGCTGTTAAATTGAGGGGTGTCCCATACAAGTGCTGGCACGGCTGGGAATCCACGCAAACCGATGTGCAGCAAGCTGTTCCCTTTAGCTCTCTGGGTCCGAGTTTGATCTTTGAGAGCATCTGTTACTGGAGGAATATGGTCTGGGAGGAAACCTGCCCCTGCTCACTGCATTTGACCTCAGGTGTCACCAGAGATGAGAAGCAGCTGTTCCTTTTGTATCCTGCGCTGGTGAGCTTGGTGTTGGTAAGTCACCCTGCAGTTCGTGCAGAGCTCTGTTCTCACCAGAGCCTGGCTCTGTCACGCACTTCAGAAAAAAAGACCTTGGGTGGCTGTAGAGCACTGGCTGCGCCGAAGCTTCTACTTCGGGCTTTGGTGGTGCATCTGTTTTAACTGACTGCCCACGTCCTGGAGGGAATGCTGGTTCCCTCTGTTTCTCAAGCTCTTATAGAACAGGATAGTGAGAGTACATAGCTTTTAATCTTCCCTTTTTACCTGCAGTGAAACTACTTGACAGTCATGCTCAGTCGATTATGAAAACTTTTGTAGCTATGGAAAGAGTGCTTTATAAGCATTAAGAGTATTTACCTGTTTAGTTTCAGAACCAGTTTGTTTGGAGGCAGTGCTAAAATCCTATAAAAGGAGAGCAAACAAAACAGCATGTAACAGCCAGCTTGTTAACTGTGTGCAACATGGTTATTTTACTGGGTGATGCACATACCTACATGTGCACATATGACGAGTGTCATGGCATGTATAGAAGGATTGATTAAAACCATGCCTTTCCCACATCTGGGTTACATTAGTCCAGAGAGAAAATATGCAGCTTAAAAATCTCTGTGGATAATTAGCCTGACGTTGCTTATCAGAAGGCACACTTTGCTAGTACAGCTCAGCAGACGAGAAGGCAGGAGGAATAAACACCAAAGTTGCTTATTTACAAGCAATATCTCTAGTTTCTTGCAAGGGCTGACTCACAGTTTTAATAAATCTGCTCTGCACATATTAGCAATGGCATGAAAATAACAGAGCTTTATTTCAGCCTCGGTATTATTATTTTGATGTATAATTCCTTCTGTTAAATCCAATAGTAAGCAGAGTCTACACAGTGAGAGCAACTGTCACATTAATGCTAATGAGAAGAGAACAGTTCAGTTGAACAGGGCTGCAGGAACAGCCCGCGCTGGTAGCACTTGGCAGCTGGAGGGCCTCCTGCTTTCAGAAAGCCTTTGTTCAGAGAAAAATGGAAAATCAAGATTTTTGGGGCTGTGGCGAGGGGCCAAGTGGAAGATGTCGGCATTTTTAAAGGGAGGATAAGATATCAAACACACTGTATAATGTGACACAACTGCAATCAGGCTTTTTCTAATAAGATTTTACTGTACCAAGCCTGAGAAAAGTATCAGTCAAGTGTAATATCAATGATGGGATGAAATATGTCTATTCTGAGTTACAGCCTGGGTGAATCCAGAGCCTGCTGGGCAGAGGTAGGCTGTGAGGGTCCCCACTTTGGTAGCTGCCAGTGCCATTCTCTTGTTTGCCTGCACATTGCTGCTAGTCTGTAAGATGCTAAAGTCTTTGTGTATTATAAATTCGGCAGGTAAGTGAATGAGTAAGAATGAATGGACAAATGAACACTGTGTGCTGGGGAAGTAATGCAGCGGGGGATGCTTAAATCTGGGTGTGCTGGAGTGATTTACTGGCTACTATTGTTTCCCTTCTTTCATATGAAATAACCTAAATCTCATATCAGCTGGTAATGTCTGCTCATGTCACTGTTTGACAGTGTTTTCTTCCTACTTGCTGTCTGCTTTTCCAAGTAGCCACCCTCGTATCTATCAAAATGATAGCCACAATTTGATGGTGCTGTATAAAACCCTTTTGGATGTCTGTTCCACTTTTTAGAAGCATTGTGCTAAAGCATTTAATTGCTGGGAACAGTCCAGGAAAGTTGCTAAGCCTATGCTAAGACCTACCCTATGTTCAGCTCTTTCGGAAGAGAAGCCTGATTTCCATCTGATGTAACTGTTTGATGAATTCTACATGCCCCGTATTTTAAACAACTTAATATGATCATAATCTAAGAATGTTTCTTTGGACTGTTATTATTCTGAAAGTAGTTCTTAGGACTTATTTGATATGCCTTGGTGGTGTGTGGAAGACAGGTGTATGACACTTGCACCTCAATTCCTAAATCGGCTGATGCAGACTCGTTTCATGCTGCTGTAAATTACACTGTTTGGGTTAATCTCCCATTAAATTCCATACTTTTGAGGATAGACTTTAGCTTTTTTACAAAAAAATTTTAGGTAAGACATTAAAAGACCTATCTTCTGCAGTCAGTTAAAGAGTTGTCTCAATCACTCACTAAAAGAAATGTGCTTGATTGCATGAGTACATTAGCCACAGAGCTGTGAGAGTGAAGCATATTTTTCAGATTAAGAGATTTTTGGAATATATGCTTTCTATTGGATATAGGAGAAAATTGTGATATGTCTTGAAATGAGGTAGTCCAATCTGAAACTGGAGGAATTAATTATAAGCTAATATATTATTCCAGGCATGCATGCAACTCCAACACACACAAATTCAGACCTGCAAGGAAAGTTTGACATTTGCCAATCCATTACTTAAACTAATGTTGTCTATGAAAAAAAGAGAGAAGCTCAGAAGGTAAACACATTTCTTCACCATCTGTAACAAAAAGTGAGTTTCGGCATTGAAGCACATCTGAAACCAGCCATGGCGCTGGGCTATGTCAGGTATGTTTTAGAAGGACTTTCACATGCAGTAAAGTTGTTTCGGTCTTATGTTTTGTGGAAGGGGACTGGTTAATATTTAGCACAGCTCTCTTTCAGGACTCTAAGCTGCACACAAGCTAAGGGCTGGGGGACTAAGGGAGGTTGGGGAGGAGGCGAATATGTATCTCGGGGTGGGGGGTAGAATCACTTAGGGTGAGTTACATGCTATGCAGGCAACTTGAAGATAAATGGCAGCCAGCTTTGTGTGGGGTAAAAGCTCAGCG